CACTTCAATTCTAAAGAAGTGCAATAGCGTATCACTGGAAGCACCATTTTTTCTCCTAATTATTGAATTTTATGATGAACAAAAAATTTGTTTTCTGAAAATCTTCGGGCTGATCTGTTCCATCTATTCGACAGCCAAGCTTTGGGGTAAACCAAAGACTACAGATGAATTTATGACATTTGATTCAGTTCGAGGAAAGGAATAGATCGATAAGGTGATGACCCCCTGTGAAATTGAAGTAACCAGGAACAAAAAGCAAGTCATGATACATTTCGAATAACGTTTTCCATAAAAGAAGGCCCTAACTCGGACAATGTTAACTCTGAGATTGAATGAGACCATATATCTGACTAAACTAAAAGAGTGAATAAAGAACTATATGATTTCCTGCTTAGTCGAAAAACTGCTTGTCTTCAGCTCACCATTTTTTGTGCAGTTGCTGTTAAGATTCCTCTGCAAACCTTAGAAAAGCATAGAGACAAAGAATCTGTGATCCATAGGAAAGCTTGAAAGAATCTTAATCTAATCAGTCCAATATTAACTAATAAGTCAAACTAGCTAGGAAGCAAAAGAACGAATTTGTAAAATACAGAGATTAGTCTTTGAATAGAATTTTGAGTCAAAGAGACAGTTTGTAGAATTAGTTTTTGACACGTGAGTTACATAATTTTATCAATAAAAATTTATTTCAATAAATAATTTTTTTGATTTTATGATAATAATGATAAATACTTTATAATTTAATTTTAATTTTGATATAATATAAATAAAATTTAATAACTTTTGATATAATTTTAATTTTGATAATTTTTGGTAAAATTTTGATAACACTTGATACAATTTTGGTAACATATGACATAATTTTAGTAACCATTGATACAATTTTGGTAATTTTTGATAAACTTTTAATAATCTCTTCTTGTTATTTCATAATCTTATGATACACTTTAGGTAATTATTAATAAAATTTATGTTATCATATATTTAACAATGAACTTTTGTAAGAAAGAGCGGGTTTAGTTTAGTATAAGATAATTTTCTTTATATAATAACATTATTATTTAATTCAAATATAAAATTTCTTCACTAAATTTTTTTATTGAATAGGTTTATGGTAGGTTTTTCCTAATCTCCTAAGACAAAATTTCTAACTCATTTACGCTAATAACCAAAATTTAATTCCTAACAACTTCAAGTATAAAAAAATTTATCAATAATTGACGATTAAGTTATTATTGATTTATTATTATATTATCAGCGATTTACAATTAAGCTATTAATGATACACTGCTAAATTATCAATGATTTATTACTAAAATAGCATTGGTTTAGTACTAATTTATGAATGATTTACTACTAAGTTATGATTTATTTACTACTAAATTGTTGATGATTTACTATTAAGTTACTAATGATTTATTATAAAATTATAATTGATTTACTATTAATTTATCGATAATTTACTACAAAATTATTAATTATTAACTAATTTACTACTAAACTATCACTGATTTATAACTAAATTATTAATGATTTACTACTAAGTTATCAATAATTTACATCTAAGTTATCAAAATTTACTATTATGTTATTATGCATTTACTATTATATTATCATTGATTTAATACATAGTTTTTAATTATTTACTGCAAAATCATCATAGATTTATTACAAAATTAACTATGACTCATTATTAAGTTATTGCTTATTTATATTAAAATTTATAAAAAAAAAAATTACCAATGATATTTTAATCAATCACTTTTAATATTTTTGAAATTAAAATTTTATTAAGGCTTTAATCAATCACTTTTAACACTTTGTAATCTAATTATAAAAAAAATTCTAATAATAAAAAAATTCATTTAAATTAAAATTTATAAAAAAAACTACTAAAGATATTTAGTTAATCACTTTTAACACTTGTAGAATTAACATTTTAAAATTTTAAATAATTTAATTTCTCATAAACTTTATTTTTTTAATTCTAGTTTATTTAAATTAAGTTTAAATAAATTAATAAAAATTATATATTTAAGGATAAATTTATTAATTTAAAATTTTATAAGAATATTAAAGTCTATTACAATTAACACTTTTAAAATTTATATTTTTATATATAGATGACAAGACACAGAATTTACAGGAAAACTTTTATGAAGAATGAATTCACCATCATTAGATTAGACTTTTGATTGTGAAATTTTCGAAATATATGCTCTTTTTGACTTGGTATAGAAAAAAAATATAATAGAATTTAAATGCGTTTTTGTCAGAGAAACAACTTTGCTGATAACTTTACCTGGAAATAGTCATCCACTTTTTGAATTTTTGACAAAATATTGATATAGAAACATAAAAATGTGGAATACAAACAGAAAAGGAACTTGAGGCAATTTAGAATTAATAAAAAACATGAAGCAAGTCATCATAATTAGATCATATTCTTTTCCGTGATTCTTGGTTTATGAATATTAGAATTGTTTAGAGTAGAGATGATCTAGAGCTGATAACTTTGCAACTTCATGTCTGATCATCAATGTCATACCATGGATTTTCAACGGGTTTGAATTTCAAGCCAAACCCAAAGGTTAAAGCTTCACATTGGACATCCCCTTGTATATTTCTTAAATTTTCTATACATGTTGTTGTATAAATATTTTATTTCACGTTCAAAATTATCCTTTCATTATTGTTTAACACCTTCAAATATCTTTTTTTTTTCTAAATCTACTTAATCAAACTATTGTTTCTTACACATGCTTTGCAAGTGGATGATTTTGATACGTAAATTATAATTTTACTAATGAAATTAATAAGATTATGGATCATGAATGATAATTTGATCAATTGCCAATTAGTTAATACTTTAAGTATAACGACATGAAATATATGTTAGCAAAAAAATGTATTTTCATGAAAAATTTTATGTTTAAAATAAAATTTTCTTTATAGAAAAGAACATACTATAAATTTAATTATTAAATTTTGAGATCTCAAAGTAAAACGAAGAAAATACTTGAATTTAACATTTATCCTTTGAATAATCAATTAGTTACATATTTGAATTATAAAGAAAATCCAGTCCCCACACTCTAACCTTCCAAGGTTGTTGATAAATAGTTTAAAAAATTAACAAGGAAATAGATAGATTAAAATTAATTATTAGTTAATATTTAGTTTAATAAGAATATTATCAATTAAGGACTTATTTAATAAGAATATTAGTCACTATTTTAATTTAATAAAAAAATAATAATTAGGTATCAATATTAATTTGATAAATTGTAAAAGAGTATATATATGGTTTACTATTTGTACTAATTTTGACATAGAATGCAACTTTTAATTAGATAGTATAACGGATAAATGGAATGTGATAGGCCGTGATTAAGGGTTCAAGTTAGAAGACCAAGACCACCTTTTATTCATATTTTATAGTGATTTAATGAATGGTCAATAAAGCTGTGTAAAATCAACAAGACAACGAAGAATTTAGCAATAGCCATGGTAGGTCTTGGCTTAGTGGCAATAGGCAATGGATTGGTCTAATACACTTAAATATGTTTAGTTATATTTCGATTAGTTGATTTATTTATTTAGTTTAATTTAATAATTTTGTATATGAATGTAGGTCTTTTTGTTTCGATATTCATTAAAATAAATCATAAGTTTTTAATTAGTAAAAATATATAAATAAAACAAATAAAACCAATGGAACAATTAGACCAAATAAAATAAATGAATGTGAAATAATATGATCTTTTTATAATTTCATGAAATCTTAAAGGGTAGAGGGAGAATGTAAAAAAAATCACTAAATATTAGTTACTAAAATTAGATTTTTTTTTTTTTTTTGGAAGAGTTTTAGTTTTAACTTTGTCTAAAAGATTAAATGTTTTTCTCACATAAACAAAAAAAAATCTTAAAAATTGGAGAATTAAACATCTGACTTCTTCTTTTGGAATTAAAAAAAAAAAAAAAAAACTCTTTTATAAGTTGAGCCAAACACCTACATAATATTTTGATTATGATGATAGCTTGTAACTTCATTTAAAAAAATCTAAAAAAATTGAAAGTAAAAGTACCTTTTTTTTTTTTTTCACACGATATTATTAGGTTCCAGCATGTGCATAATCTTTGTTTCCTATATTTGTTTTTTCTTCTCTATTTAAGAATTAAAGCTTTCACATTGGACATCCTCCTTGTATGTTTCTTAAATTTTCTATATATATATTGTAGTATAAATATTTTCTTTTACCTTCAAAATTTCCTTTCACTTTTATCTAACACCTTCAAATATATGATATTTTGTTTACTTATTTAAGCCAATGTTTCTTACAGGGTACTTTGTAGGTGGACGATTTTGATACATAATTTATAATTTTAATAATGAAATTAATAAGATTATGGATCATGAATGATAATTTGATCAATTGCCAATTAGTTAATACTTTATGTATAAGGACACGAGATATATATTAGTAAAAAAAATGCATTTTCATTAAAAAAAATTAGTTTAAAATAAAATTTTCTTTGTAGAAAAGAATATATTATAAATTTTGAGATCAAAAAATAAAACGAAGACAACACATGAATTTGACATTTATCCTTTAAACAATTAGTTAGTTACATATTAAAAAAATATAATTTTTTATAGGCTTTTTTTTCTTTAAATTTTTGTATATAATTATGAGTTCAAGTCAGAAGACCAAGACTTGCTTTAATTCATGTTTCATATTAATCTATTGAATCAGATCAGTGAATAAAGTTATCTAAAAGCAATGATAATCAAGAATTTAGCAATTGCCAATGAGTTTCTGGGATAGTGCGAGGAGGATCCGGGATACCTAACCATTTTTTTAAATGGTTAAGTCTCCAGCACACTCCATATAAATGTATGCTCAAAATCTGTTTCTCCCACTCCAAATCACCGCCTCAAATCCAAAAAAAAAAAAAAAAAACAATTTGTCTAAATTGTTTTAATTTAAATCCATGTTATCTTCTTGTACAATGTTGAATAAAAGAGCTAAAGCACACTCAGTTTTCTTCATGTTCATGTTTTTATTACTGATTAATTTTAACTTGTCTCAGGGTAATGAGGTTGAGTTACTCTTGTCCTTCAAGTCTTCAATCAATGATCCGTCCGGTTTCCTCTCCAATTGGAATTCCTCAACGTCTTTCTGCCTATGGCATGGCATCACTTGCAACAATTTTTCTAGCGTCAAGGCAATTGAGCTCATTGATAAAAACATTACTGGAACAATTTCCTCCTCAATCTTTCATTTGCCAGAGATTGAGACCATCAATCTTACAACCAACCAACTCTCTGGTGAAATTCCTTATGATCTGGTTTCTTCTGCTTCACTTCGATATCTTGATCTTAGTCGCAATAAATTGACCGGTCCAACTCCAAACTGTTCAATTTCTCTGGAAATATTACATCTCTGGGATAACCTGCTTTCTGGGAAAATTCCACCGGAAATTGGACTCTGCTCAAATCTAAAAGAACTTGATCTTGGTAGCAATTATTTGGTGGGGAGAATTCCAAGCTCCATATCAAATATCACCAGTTTACAAATCTTGACTCTTGCTGGAAATGACTTAATTGGCCAAATTCCACGTGAATTAAGCCAAATGAAGAGCTTGAAGTGGATTTACTTTGGTTATAACAACCTTGCGGGCGAAATTCCGCAAGAATTTGGTCATTTGGTTTCTTTGAATCATCTTGATCTTGTTTACAACAATCTCAGCGGACAAATTCCATCCTCGCTGGGAAACCTCAGCAATCTTCAATATCTCTTCCTCTTTCAAAACAACCTAACAGGTTTTCTTCCTAGATCCATTTTTGGCCTCAAAAAGCTTATTGGACTTGATCTTAGTAAGAATTACTTTTTTGGTGACATCCCAGAACTCATAATTGAGTGGCAGAGCTTGGAGTTTCTTAATCTTTGGGACAATGACTTTACCGGTGAAATTCCAAATACTCTAGCATCTTTGCCTCGTCTTCAAATCCTTTCTCTTTCAAAAAACAGCTTGACTGGAGAAATTCCTCCTTTGATCTGCAATGTAAGTTCCATTGAAGTTCTGCACTTATATGATAATAACTTAAGTGGACTCGTTCCACAGTGTCTAGGGAACTTCAGCAAAAATCTTTCAGTCTTAGATTTGGGGATGAATAACTTTCATGGAACCATCATTGAGACATTTGATGAGAATTGTGGTTTGAGGAATCTCAACTTAAATAGCAATAAATTGGAAGGGTCGTTACCAGGATCCTTGGCCAATTGTAAAAATCTAGATTTGCTGGATATTGGTAACAACAAGCTAAATGGTACGTTCCCCTATTGGCTGTATACTCTGCCAGAATTACAAGTTCTTGATTTACGGTCAAACAAATTGCATGGTATCTTACAAAGTTCCAAGGCCAACCATCCCCTTTCTAAGTTACGGATTCTCGACCTATCTAACAATGAATTCACTGGTCCTTTGCCGAAAGGCATAATAGAAACTTGAAGGCGGTGATGAATCTCAATGAACAACAAAGTTCTTTGCAATATATGTGGGAAAGAGATTACATTTATGCTGTCAATTTGACAGTGAAAGGTTTTAATATAGACCTTAGTAAAATCTCGACAATCTTCACCAGCATTGACCTCTCAAATAATAACTTTCATGGAGAGATTCCAAGTGTTATTGGAAAGCTTAGTTCACTTAGAGGGCTCAACCTTTCTCATAACAGCCTTACTGGTCATATCCCTACGTCAATGGGAAATATGACTAGTTTGGAATGGTTAGACCTTTCTTCAAACAGGCTTATGGGGAAAATTCCTAACGAATTGACAGATCTGACATTTCTTGCCTTCTTAAATCTTTCACACAACCAACTCACGGGACCAATTCCTCAAGGCAAACAATTCAGTACATTTGAAAATGTCTCATACGAAGGAAACTTGGCACTATGCGGCTTTCCATTGTCAAAAGCTTGCAACAATGATGGGAGAAAACAATCATCTCCATCTGTTGACTCAGAGACCAACATCAGTTTTGGCTGGAAAGTTGTGTTGATGGGCTACGGATGTGGACTGATATTTGGAGTCCTTGTTGGATATGTTGCATTCAGAAACGGTGATCCAAAATGGTTTATAACGTTATTTCGAGTCAAATATCATCGAAGGGCAAGAAGGCGGTCGCGGAACTAGTCAATGCGGATGACTTTGGAAGTATTGTAACCTTTGTTTTTCTGTTCTAAGTCCCTGTTGTTTTTATTTCACTCCCAAGAATTCATGGATATGTCTTTGTCTGTCTTTGCTTTTGCGCTACAAATTAGTAATTCGTGTAATAAAATAGCCATGTATTTCATAAGCGAATACATATGGAGCTGGAGTGTGGTTGCTGCTTTTGCTTAATGCATGGCTTCTCTTGATATTTCCTCCTGATCTTTTTATTCTTACCTCCATTTGTACCAAAGAATCTCATTCTTCTAAACTGGATGCCAAGATAATGCTTGTAGGATTATTTGCAGCAAAAGATAATCATTAAGGTGTTAATGCAATGCAGCAAATGCTGGCAATAATATGCAACAAAAACTCGAAAGCATATTGAACATGGCCAACGTTTTGGCAATTGGTCACACCATTTTCTAAACAAAAACTTGAAAATTATGACACAAATTGCTGGCAATAATTTAACTGTCACAAAAATTTAATTTGTTTTGCACTTCAATTCTAAAGCAGTGCGATTGCGTACCACTAGAAGCACAAATTTTTCTCCTAATTATTGAATTTTATGATGAACAAAAAATTTGTTTCCTTAAAATCTTCGGCCTGATCTGTTCCATCTATTCTACAGCCAAGCTTTGAGGTAAACCAGCGACTACAGATAAATTTATGACATTTGATTCACGTCAAGGAAAGGTGATGACCCCCTACGGAATTGAAGTAATCAGACAACAAAAAACAAAAAAAAAAAAAAAAAAAAAGCAAGTCATGATAAATTTCGAGTACTGTTTTCCATAAAAAGAAGGCCCTAACTCGGACGCTGTTAACTCTGAGATTGAATGAAACCATACATGTGACCAAAACTAAAAGAGTGAATAAAGAACCATATTGTTTCACGTTTACTCGAAAAACTGCTTGTCTCCAGTTAAAATCGATTAAATATATATCCCAAATGCAAGGAGCAATAGTTATACTTAAGCTCAAGAGGACTTGATGAAGTTTAGCAACTTCTCAAACAATTACCTGCATATCATGCATTTTGCTGGACTTGCCTATGTATTTGCATTATCCAATCAACATAACCACTGGTACCGCCCATCTGGTCCTCAAGAAGATTTACAAGAAGCAGCAAACCTTCCCTGGGTTGCTCACCTTGTCTTACGAGATAAGAAAGTTGATAATATGAAGGGTCACTCTCTCTTAGTTTCTTTAACATCCCCATCAGCCTTCTTGACATTTCATTATCATGCTGGTGAAGGGTAACCTGATTTTAAAAGAGAACATATAGAACAAGGTGAGTTAAGCACATGCAGCCAGAAAAGGAAAGGTCAAATGAACAGATTAACTTCAAACAACATTATCATGGAGAAAAAATGTGCATGCAAATAAGGTTCCAAAATACAAAAAAACCATCAAAACAAGCAAAGAATGTTCCATAGCATGATTACAATGCCACAGTCATTGGTTGCAATTGACATTCAGTTATAAATATTTAGAAATGTATAATAAGACCGATTCAAATTTTTACTTATTAATCATTTCAGACACTTTCTACTCAAAGCAGAGTTCATATAACAATAAAGGCCAGCATCTGAGGCAAATCTTATGTATGTTGAATACCAACAACAATATCAGTTTCCTTTATGCATAAAATGGTTACTAAAGCAGATGAAACATATACTATTCAACAATCTTGTCACCATAAGAATAGCTTCATCAACAAGAGATCTTACCCTTGACAATTCTGCAGCAAAGTCTGGCCCAAGTAAATTTCCAGCTATATCAGGCGATAGCATTCTACCAAACCATATAATAAAGCGGAAGCCATCATCATATATATAAAGGCCTCTTGAATCTAGGCTTTCTGCAACCAAAGGCAATCTCTTCATAATGTTTTTGAAATCATCAGCTTGAGCAGAGGGCTGCAAATATGAGACAGAGTTATGTTCAGTTTGCAAAATCTACATCTTTATTGGAATATATTTAAAGGGTCAAAATCTTTCACCTTCAAAAGAGACTCATCAATTCGAATCAAGCTAGGATATAACAGCTTCAACAACTTTTTAACAGGTAATGCCATCATGGTGAAACCTGCTGCACAGCGTTCATCAAGCTGAGCATCTGCGTATCCTCCTTTTAGAGGTACTGATTTAGAGAGTGCTAATCCATACAAACACAAGAACTTTAGAGACTCTGGATAAATCATCCTAGCTCCCAACCGATGCTGCACAGCATAGAGATTGCGGTATTCTCTGAGTGCTTTAACAATCCTTACTTGCAAAGAATTTCTAGCATCATCAAGTTTATTGGTCAAAGTTTTCTCAATTGCTGCAAAATATCGGTTAATTAGAAAAATATATGACCCCCCAGATCCAATGAAACAAATAGCATCCCTCACAGAGGGGCTTTTGTTCAACTTTACCTAATCTACAAAACAAAGAAACAATGGCACCAGTGTCAGCCTGGCGGTACATCTCTCCCAGATCTGTAACAATAGCTGCAGCTGCCGTATGTACTCTGATACGTCTCTCTCCGCAGGATGCAGTGTATCTTTAAATCATTAAAGAAACATCAATAACCCATATCCTTTTCCACTACTAAAACAAACCCAGCCAGTTCCAGCAAACAAGGTAATAACCCAATAAATTAAAATTGATAGAGTAAAATGACCCACTTAAAGGATACAGTAAAGCAACTTGGAAGTATACTGTCTGAGTTGTCAGCAGTGTCTCCTCGAGGGATAACTGCATTGCATATGCTTTATCACAATCTACAGCCGGTAGTGCTAATAAATCTGTGGACCTCAGCATAAAGTTCCCATGATAAGATGTAAATCGAATCCCTGGTACAAGTACCGAATGACATGAATCAACAGCTTTGTTATCACAAAATCATAGGGGAAAAGAACAAAAATAAATAAATAGCATTTTCTATAAGCATTAGCCCATGTCAGCATATATATTGAAGGAAAAAAAATTTTGTAGCTAACCAACTATATCGGGATTATGGCTTAATAACATTGAGTTACAAGTGGATTCAACAATAAATAAAAAGAATCAGCAGACCTTTTCCACATCTTATGCGCATAACTGCTTCCCAGGCCGTTTCCCTAGTGAGATCTCTGGCTAATTCATGCCTCAACTTCTCTCCATGAATGCCTGATTGGAAGCTTGGATAATAATATACTTGACCTCCAGTATATTTTGCCAAGGTTCCTACATCGAAATTCATAAAAGAGACATCAAGTATCATTAAAAGCTCTTCTAAACCTCAATATCATTTTTAACCCGAAAGTCAAAAAGGGCAGTGATTTTGTACCTAAGGAAGCTATATCAGTATATTTGTCACTGAAGGCATAAACATTAACCCCTATCTGGTACTTGGTAAGATCAGCAGCCATTTGCTTGTAGAAGGGATCTTCTGGTAATCTCAATATATGTTCCTTATCAGTTCCATAGACACGAAGATCATCTCCACGCAACTTCAAGCGGCCAACTCCCAGGGAAGGCAATGTGTTCTGGAAAATTAGCAACTTTCCCCCAAGTTGACTCTGCGGTAAATAGGTGGTCAAACAACCATTATTCAATACAATTAACAGCAAGAAACTAAAAGGAATCTCATCATTGGTAAAAGCTCGTAGTAGCAATGGTGGAGAAAAAAACATACCATAACCATGAATGCTGCCTTAAGTGCCGGACCAAAAGCAGATTCCACATTCACATTGTCCTGAAACATAGAGGGCAAGCTATCCAGGAATGTTTCAACCACATTTCTAGATTCAGACAAGTTGACAAGGAGATCATCTGGCAATGGGACAAATATATCATCCAGATCTGAAACTACCATCATTTGAGGCTGCATAAGAGATGACTGCAAGACAAAAACCCAAAAGTTATTTTGGAAGTACTTGAGCTGAAATGGAGAAAATCTGAGGCATCTCATAAAACTTTTCCACTGATCTCATAAGTCACTTGCCTTCATATTGTAAAAATGAATTGTGCTATCAAAAGTAATGAAACCAATCTGTGTTCTGGGGAAGCCAGGCAGCTCATCCAAACATGAACGTACAGTTTGAGCAACAACCTGACAGATATGTTATAAGCAGCAAAAACCATTAACATGCATATAGAATAAGGAGAAATAAAGAAAAGAGATAGAATAGCAGCAAGGCCTATCAAGGTACATGTTATCACCAAAAGGCCAGAGCAGAAAGTATGCAGACCTAAAACTTACTTATTTAATCAACTAGAGTATGCAGACCTAAAACTTACTTATTATGCAGACCTAAAACCTACTTATTTAATCAACTATGATCAGACAATGTTGACAACAACCTGGATAAATAATCAGCTAAACAGGTTTTAAAGTGTCCAACAAACCGTGTAATAGTAGCAGCAAGGTTAACCCATACTTTTTTCCCTACACTGATTCCATAGCAAGGCAAAAGACTCTTGCAAGCCTTATTACAACACACTATGAGATGATGAACAATTAACTGCTTAAAAGGAAGTGCTTACCTCAATCATACCACTTCTTACTGCAGATATTGAAACGTCAATAAGAAAAAAATATAGTGGTGGCATTGGAGGCCGCACCATGTATTCAGTTGGTGCAACAAATTCCACACTGCCTTTTATAAGCTCAGGCCGCTGATCCAAATCAATTCTTCTGCCAGTGGCATCCAAGTTGGCAAAATACTCACCAGGAACTGAACATAGAAGTTGAATCAAATAAGCATATATGCTTTGTAATTCCAACTATTAAAGAGATCTACCAGGAAAAAAAAAATCAGTCTGCCACACAATATGACCAATTGGATACAACTGAAAAAAAAACAAAAATTACATTACCAATAAAGAACAGTTAGTTAACATGCTATCTGAAACTCCATACCACACCCATCATTAACTCAATTTAAAATATGTATTTTGCATTTTGCACTTTACCAATGAATTGAGATAGTTAAAAGTAAAGTTAATGGAAGATGCCCATAACAAGCAAGCTTGCAGAAAACTGATATACATGTTAATGCAAGTCTGTGTAAGTGAGTGATAAGCTCATTGCCCCCCAATAATGTTTGACGGTCCAAAGACAACAGATAATGCATATAACAGATAAAAGAATGTACAGCATGGAAAAGGATTCCATACACCACAGTCATAACTAAAACCACTTGACGTGACTCATTGCACTTTCAACCATTGAATTATATCTTTGCTTCCTAAGTCAGCTGTGTTTACCATCATTTAGTAAAGAACAGAT